CCCTTCTGGTCCATCGTTAGTTCTAATTCAATTACACATCTATTAAGAAAAGGAAAAAAACTAGTCTTGTGTATGTATTTTAATCTTAAGCAGCTGAAGAAAAGCAGTTAGTTTAAACTTAGGGTTGTATAGCATGTGCTGATATGACACTTCTCTGCATTTTAATTGTAAGATGGGAGGAATCTTAAGCTGCTACAGGAGCATAAAATTGATAACAAAATAACTTGTTTAACTGAATAGATGGGAAGTCACTTAAACATCAAGAAACATCATGATTGAGAGGTTGTAAATCTCTCGTTTCTTGATGTTTAAGTGACTTCCCATTTATTTAACTTTAGCTGTGAAGTTAGAAGCACTGTGGCACTAAGACATTTTATAGTTACGCCTTAAAGAATGAAGTAACTCTGTTGCAGATGCCTAGAACAAACAAAACACAACTTATTCTACATCTGCATATACGTGACCCAAATTTCTGTTCCGAAAGTTGGTCACAGTTGGTACTACAATCTTTGCATATATGTGGGGTTTGAAATTTTTTTTTTTTTTTTTTTTTTGCTTTACAGTATATAATCTACACTGAAATTCTTTATTGTGTATGCGATGCAACTGATGTGGTAGTTACTGGAGCTGTAATTATGAGATTGATGTTGGCTATGGTGGGGGGGAGAGAGGGAAAGGTCTGCATGCTTGAGATCACAAACAGAATGCACTATTATATAACTATGCAGAGGGGACGTAGTCCACAAATTGTATTTAATCCCACTTCTGATACTGCTTGCATCAGTAGCATTGCAGTTGGTGCTATAATGCAGAAGTGTGACGATATGAGCCTTATCAGTTTGCTGTAGCGAAAGGTTGGAATTCCCTTTGGTAGCCTGGGGAAAAAAAAAAAAAGAGTCAGGACGGTCGTTGTTATGTCCCCTGTGGAAGAGCAAACTTGTCAGGGCCATGAGAATCGCGTAAGTGTCTTGGGACCAGGACTCTGTTGACAAGAGTAGGTGGAGGGTTTTAAGCATACAAGAGATACAGATACAACTTACTTGCTAACTTTTAACATAGGAAATAGGATACAGGGTAGCTAAGACCACTAAGAATCCTTTCATAACTTGAAAAATTAGAATTTTCTGCTTTTGTGTCAAAACTTCTCTACCTAAACAAGATTTCTTTTCTGCACTTTCCTTTGAGTAAATGTGTATACACGTATGCTCTTCACCACCCACCATTTTTTTCCTTAGATGTGAACTTTCCACTTAGTGGAATTTGCCACTTAGTGGCATTTTGCTGGAAAGGTTTCTTTTGGTTTCTGATCCCCTATCGTTGGTTGGAAGTGGGGTTCTCAGGCTTGCAGAATAACAGTGTAGCAGTTGCAAGCCATTAAATTCCCCAATGCCCTTGAGGGGAATGAGATCAGACTCTAAATTTAAAGGCAAGTTTTGGGGTTCTTTGCCTCAAACCCTATGAGGTAGTCTGATGTGCAACTCAAGACTGAGATTCCTTCAAGCCAAGATTAAGAAATATAAATATAAAGATATATGTATCTTAGATATATATGTGCATATATATAGACAAACATGCAAACTAAATGTGTCAGTGGCATGCTGTACTATAAATAAGAAAATACTTTAACCTTTCATTAGAGCAGCTGTTTCCTTGCACTTGATGCAACATCTGCTTGACTGATTTAAGGATTTATTTTTGGCTTCTGCTGATATTTGGTGATATTCTTTTTTTTTTTTTTTAAATGAAAATACTCCTCCTGCATTTTACACATACTTTGTAGTATATCCTGTAAAATTATTAGTTTATCTTGATGTGCCTTTTAGATTTCATCGTAAGACTGTAAGAAATGCTCTTCAGCAACAAAAAACTTCAGCACTATTAAGTTACGCATCTTGGGGAGGTGCAAGGGAAAGGCGGAACTAGCATTTTTCACTTTCTTTTTCCCTGTTGCTTATATTGATTTTACATTGTATATTAACTGCAGAAGTATGACTTAATCAACTTTTCCAGGAGGCCAAGTTAGTTTTGGTTATTTCTCCTTTCTGTATTCACTGTAGTGTGCCTGGTAGTCTCAAAACTCAGTAGTGAGAATAAAAAGAAATGTGTCTCCTTAATGTTATGCTAGCTGAAGAATAACTTTAGTTCTATATTAATGCTGTGTCCTAATCATATTAAGTGCTGAACAGGACTAATCTTCTGGGGTTTTTTTTAATCATCTCCTCATAGGATCCAAATCAGACAGTTCTAGGGAGCTGATGGTTGGGTGTTATGTCTACTGCCTAGGAAAGTGTTATGATCTTCAAAACAGGTAATCCCCACCACAGATAAACTACACACAGATGAAGGAAAAGAAATCCTTAGATAACCTGCATAAAATCGGAGTTGGGGGACTGCTTGGCCAGCAGGAGCAAATCAAGGGGGGGGATCTCAGGAGCCAGTTAGAGTAGAGGATGCAGGGAGATCCGAGTGAGAGGCAGGAGGGCTGCTGGTGAAGAAGCTCCTCACCACTAGTGCCTACAGTAGGCACTACTGCCGAATATTTGAGGTTGGTTGGTTGGTTTGTATTTTAAACAGGCAGCCCATTCCCAAGTACAATAAGAGTTGGTGACACAGTCTAAACCTCCTGAATTTTTGGCAGTATGTTGGTGTTGTAATGAGATGCATTAATGCTTAAAGGATAATTAAAAATAATGAAGTATAGAGAAAGTGGAATGGAACGCAGTACACCATGCCTGTGAAAGCCAGAGCATGGCAAGCTGACTTTTGATGAAAAGAACTTATTTTCTGTGTAGACATTTTTATAGTTTCATCTGAATATGTACATAGTAACTGATGTGGTGCTGTATTGCAAACTTTTGGTTAAATAGGATAAATTAGGATTTAATAGAGAAATTGTGAGTGTGGCTAGGGGCCTAACATAAAGGACCTAGCTGTGAGGAGGAGGAGATCAGCTCAGAGAGAGCTCGTTACCGGAATCGTTATGGGTCAATTGTCAGATCAGTCTTGCGTTTCCCGATTCATTTAATGACAAAGGTACATGTAAAGGGATCTTGCTGCTAGAATTTGTTGATGACATGAAGTTTGAAAAATGCTCTTAACGTAGAGAGAAAGAAGTGTTATACAGAAATTTTTTCGGAATTTCATAGGCCATGGGTCCAGATGTGGGGGAGATCTGAAACATCTTTGTGGTGCAGAATATTTCTTTCCACCTAGCCTCCTTTCCCTGGGAGGGGTGGAGTAATAGGAGTGCGATGAAATTTGGAGCCTTGTGCTTTAGGGCATTACAGCCATAATGTCAGTTACAAGCTTGGAGGCTGAATAATTGAAAGGATCTTTAATGTTTATAGCCAGATGTATTCTGAATTTTATGAATAATTGCCTTTGACTAAACAGCATTCCGCCAGCTTTTCTCCTTTAAGTTTTTTTGCTATTTCCTGGTATGCAGCCACTCTTACAGTGGCTATGGTGCTTTCTCAGAGACAGCTACCACTTGGCTTCTTTCCTGGGCTAATGGCAGAACTCATATTTTCTGAAGGGCGTTAGCAGGGGGACAGGGAGGGGAACCTAGCCCTTTTATGCTAACTCTTTTTATCCTTGCTACACGTTGAAATAGAGACTGAATTGCTTTTTGGAGGGGTCATTTTCTTCATTGACCTTGAAGTGTGCAGGATGATAGAGATTGTAATTTGGATACCTCCATTATGTGCTTAAAGATAGGTGGGATGAATCCAAGCCAAAGCATTCAAGAGGGAATAGACAGTCTGTCTGGAGAGCTTTTGAAATAAGTGGTGAGTAGGTAACTGAGGCAAGGCTGTCATGTTCAGTGGATATGATGTGCTGAGGTTTTTGACCCTGAAGAAGTCCTGAAAGCTTGGGCATCGCTGTAAATTTTTCCTTTGGTATTTGATCTAGAAAACAGTTTACTGAATTCCAACAAGGAAAAGTTTGTTGCAACTTAACTTAAAATGAGAGCCACAGTTTGAGAGTGTGATTTGGAAAAAAAGTATCCAAGCAGTTAGTATGCTAAAGTCTTGCTAAAAGTTGATGCAATTTAGGCTTGTAGGCCAAAACAGAAAAGCAGCTAAACTCCTCCTTGTCATGGGCATTTGTAAGTGCTAGCTACTCAAACACATTTTGTGACCTTGCTAGCAGTTGCTTGAGGAGCCAAAATTTAATCTCTTTTGCATTGTAAGTAATGTCATAATGAGCTCTTTATACAGGTTATTTTAATGCTATATGGAAAAGGAATTATATTCAGTAACTTGCAAATAGAAGAGAGAAAAATTATACTGAAGATGCTGATGGTGAGATAAAGGAAATCGATGATAGGAAAACTATGATGTGATGTTATTACTGTATTGCATGTGGATCTCAATCACTTTGCTTGTAGTGAAAGACAGTGGTGGAACGAAGTTTTGGGTTCAGAAGACTGGCAGAGAGATTCAAGTTCTGTGGCAGCTGGGACTGAGGAAGGATGCTGTCTGACTCCGTGGTGTTTTGTAGGAGATGCAGTGGGTGAGATCAGGGCTAACAAATTTCATACTGGAGAGAGTGTGCTAGGGCTTTTACTGAGGCTCACAGGCTATTCAGGTGCAGATTTTGATATTTTTAGCGCTCTCTGTTCGGGTTAATTTTTCAGGTTTATATTTTTCTTCTTCATTCAAGAAGATATGTTGCCAGTGTGTCTTGGCTGGAATTTTTTTATACTCTGCTGAAAGCTTTTTTAATGGCACAGTTGATTCAATCACTACCTATCAGAATCTTCTGGTGTTTATCATAAAAAATGCCAGCTGTTAGAATTTAATCTTCCTAGATTATGTGTAAACAAACAAAATTTTATTGACCTCTCTGACCCTATTTTTACAACATCTTAAACTCTTTTCTCAAATCACTTTGGATCAATCTTCTAAAACCAATGGCAACTTTCTAGTAACTTTTAAAAAAAATAATAATTTAAGTCTTCTCTGGATACTTTCCTAATACTGCATTTTTTTTTACAGATAAATTTGCGCCTCATCTTGGTAAGCGGGAAAACGAAAGAGTTCCTGTTTTCACCAAATGACTCTGCTGCAGATATCGCAAAACATGTGTATGACAACTGGCCGATGGGTGAGTAGCTGTGTGGCTTTGGCTTTTTAACTGGCGAGCTAGAAGCTTTCCTGTATTTTCAGACTAACGTGTCAATAAACCGATCTCTGTTCTCAGTGTTCAAATTAAGTATGTTTATTGTGTATCTGGGCTTAGATTTATATAGAAATACAATTGTCTTCTCGCCTTCTTTTTCCCTGTTTCTTTGGTTGGGCAGATTTTTAGATGTCTGGACTATTTCCCACTTTATTTCTAAAATTTGCTTCCCCAAACTGAAGTACTTCTTTCCCCCCCATCTTTAGACACTTTTCTTGATCAGTCTTGTTAGAGGATCTAGTAAGTGTGAGGAAATGTTGGAGATATAAAACCTCTTATGTGAGGACAGCTAATGTAAAACATGGCATGTCACAGGAACGCATTAGTGAAATTGAGTCTGAAATACTTCTTCCTTACTGCCTTATCTTGGAAAGGATCTGTAATAACGGTATTTTTCCAGGAAAAAATCAAATATAAAAGAACATTTTAAGAGACATTAAAAGACTGAGGGAAACTGAGGTTGTTTGTATGAATGTATTTGGTGTTATGCAGGAATACTAGCTTCAGAAAATGGAATTGAAAACTTAGGATATGTATTCATATATGTGAATACTTCCACAAAACCAAAGTGCTGCTATTCTCCCAGACTGTGATTTAATGGGAAAATAGCCAAAACACAGACATAGCATTACATACAATGAAAGAAAATCCTTCTTTTGGTACTGGACTTCATTTGGGTTACTGTTTTGTTGTTAAAAAAGACTACTATTTACACAAACTAAAACATTGCAATATCTGTTTCTGTGGTGCCTTTGTCAAAGAGGTATGGTGGATGATAATTCATGCCAAAAAGTTGGTGTTGATAATCTGTATTTTAGGCCTTAAGCTGGTCTTTGAGGTCAGGAAAAACAGGGTTTCAGGAGACTTGTTTGCTGTTTGTTTTGCTGGGATGCAGCATTATGTATTTAATAAAATATGTAATGAAGGAGGAGGTTCTTAGTCCTCTGAAATATTAGATAGAGATGTAAAACATTTTGACACGAAGAAACCTGGTTGATGTAGCATCTATGTAGTTACTGTACATATTTCAATGTGTGCCTACAACACAGTTGTCATAACCAAATGTTCTTTGTGTACTTTTATCTGAATTAGTAAATGCAGAACTGTTTTTTTTCTTACTCAGGTTTATTCCTGAACATGTGGTCTTGTGTTTCTAGTCTTGGGAAGAGCTTGAAGGTTGCAGAATCTGAGTTTAGAGTTGGGAAGAAACCCAGACTTTAAAGTCTCTTTTTTAAAGAAAAAGAAAAGTAGAACTGGACATGGAAGCCTCAGTTCAAATACCTGCTGTCCTGAGGGAGTGCTGTAAATCTTGATGAATATTTAATTGCCTGTGCAAAGAAGAATAGTGTCAATTTGAAAGACTGAGGAAAAATCTACTTCAGCGTAGTGTATAGGTTTTCACAAACATGAGCCCACTAGCTGTTTTCAGGCTGAGTGTGCTCTTCTTTGCCACAGGACTGAGAAATCTTGATGTGGACTAAATTTTCCTTGAAATAGAGATGGTATGAAATTATTGTTTTTACCACCATTTTGACTTGTCATGGTCTTGTGGGGAAAAAGTCATGAAATATCCTCAGTCACATGCTGGCAGGATTAAGGCAAACCTCTCCTCCCCTCTTTTGGCAATACAGTTGTTAATTAAGGATCTCTCGTCTTGTAGTGGAAAATGCCAAATTTATATTAATGTTTATCATCTAGGTAGGTTACCTGTTCTTCCCCCCCCGCCATTTTCTTCTAAATTTTTTTCTTGTACAGCAATTGTCTGCTGAAACTTTTTTTTTTTTTTTAAAAAAAAAAAGTCGTAGGTAAATATTTTCTCCTTGGCTCATTTAGTCATCAGTGGAAATTAAAATTTGAAATCATGTCAGAAAGAAATGTTTCAGACTGCCAGCCAAGAAGCAAAAATTAAAAGGATGGGTAAACTGGCAGCTTAACAATGAGCAAATACCTGTGCCAAAATATAGTCTGTCTTCTTTTGGTTGCTGTTTCAGGTCATTATGGCACTGTAAACTGGCTGAACTTCTCCTCTTTACAGCCATAGTATAGTGGAGTAAAAAAAAAAAAAAAAAAAAAAAATTGGGGTTTTCCAAAAAATTTTTTTCCCTA